ATCTTTGTTTACTGAAATATTGGCTGGACAGAAGAAATAGAAATTATTCATATCCTGGGTTAAATATCCATATCCTCAGATGCAGAAGAATCAGGTTCAGATTTCTGGTCCAAATGATTTCCTAGTACTGAGGTTTCATGGCTGCTCCCACTACAATTTTCTGGCTTGGATGACTTACTGATAGGCATTAATTTCTTAATATGTGCTGTACTGGAAGACTGAGTCTACTGTTTTGGCTTTGGCTAGTAATAGCTATTTTAGGCTTTGGAAAACCAGAGATCTCTTTAGGGATTTAGCCATATGCTCCTAGATGTTCGTTCTTAGCTAATTAGGTCTCTAATTAGCTTACAGCAGAGACTACAACTCCACTGCAACAAAACCAAACAGAACTTTACTTACAAAATTGCAGTTTTTTTGTTCCAGTATTGCTCAGAATAGTGATTGCCTCAGTGTCTCCTCTTCAGGGACAGCAAAGATCACTAATGGCTGCTGGTCTGCCAAAATCAGATTTCATGAGTACATTGTTCTAATGGTTATATTGGAATTCTGTTAATAACTGATATTTTTGTTAACATGCATGTTAACATAAGCTTGTTACTGCACTAAAAGTTGAACTATAATCTTTTTTTGCTGTACATGAATTAGTTTAAAAGTTATGACAATTAGTTCTTCAAAGATTAAATAAGTAATAATTCAACAGAAAAATATATTTTTTTTTAGATAAGACAAAATTAATATTTTCCAGTTTTTCTAAATATTTACATAGCAAAAAACAACGCCCATGCAATATTAATAATCTTTGAGATAATCTTAATCAAATTGTATTGCATTAAGATGATTTCCATACAGACAAACTTGTCATTGTTTTCCAAAATGAAAAAAAAAACAACTGGTGAAGCTTCTCACTCTCTATCTCCTATAAAATTAAACCATTGAAAATTTCTGACTGCGGAGTTCAAAGCTTTCAGAGTATTTGTTAGCCCATAGAGATGGGGCTGGTCTCTGGTCTCAAAGATAGCTTTTCTGAGGAGCCCCAGCAGGAGCTTCCTCCTCTATTGCTTCAGAACCAGCTTTTAAATGCCCCTTGATCCCATCTGTACTACAATGCAGCAGCGTCAAGATCCACTTGATCTGGACCTGGACCTTGACTCACAGACTGATTTATTTGCAGGCTTGACCTTAGCAACTGCCTCATCACTGTGGAACTGGTGTTTCACTTCTCCAAGGTTCAGGGACTTGAGAGGCTTAATCATGCTTTACCAAGTGAAAAATGAGCCAAACATGGCTTTTTCTGTGTCCTTTGTTATTAGGTCAACACTCCTTTGAGGAGTGACTCACATTTACCTTCACCTTCTTGTTGGAAGCTGGAATATATTGCCCAGAGAGGTTGTGGAGTCTTCCTCACTGGAGATATTCAACAACTGTTTGAACTCAATCCTGTGCCATGTGCTCTGGGATGCCCCTGCTTAATTAGGGAGGTTGGACCAGATGATCCACCATGGTTCCTTCCAACCTTACCCATTCTGTGCTTCTGTGATTCTGTGCAGCTTCATCAGATACTCATATTCAGCTTTGAAAAGTGAGTCATTAATCAGATACAGAAGTATTTGCTTAAATGCCTGTTGTGCTTACAATGCACCCTCCAGTGGTGAGCACTGCAGTGAGTACTGCAGTAGTTACACAGTACAAGTCCTACAGTTCAGTTTACAGGATTGGCAAAGGCATCCACTCACCTCTTTTGCTTTAGCAAAGAGTTTCTCTGGAATAAGCATATCTAAAACAGAAACTGTCTTGTGCAAGTTGAGCTGAGCTTCTTACTTTCTTAGGTGAGAAAAAAACTTTGCTGCCAAGAAGACAACAGTGAAGTACCTCAGCCTTTTACATGACATGCTATTTTCGCATATGCCTGCCATAAAAGCAAATTGAAAATCTTGAATTGTCTTATCCTTCACCTTAAAACTTTGTCTATCTATAGGAGCAATTTTGCAAAAATGAAATTTCATACTGCTTACCTATGTGTACCGTGGTAGAGTGAATGCATTCTGTTCTGAGATAAGGATGCACATTTCCAGGTACCTGTCAAGTCAGATTTTTTCCATGCATACAATTGGTACTTGCAGGATGTACAGATAATTTACAGGTAAATTAGAAGTCATTCTAGTACTTCCTATAGTTAGTCCTGCTGCATTGTGGCAAAATATGTTGCTTTCTGACACTTGTAAGATACATTTATTGGGAATCACCTCCTACCTTCTAGCATAATGGAAATATTTGCATCTTAGAAGTTCCAGAATGAAGCATAGTAAATATTGTATTTGATATCTATAAATCAGAATAATACCTCCTTAATAAAGCATTCTGACATCTGCTGCTGGAGATGTGGGTGTTATTTTTGAATACCCTATTTGTAATGTAAAACCATGGATTTAATTCTTTCTCTGAGTGATACTATAAAATCCCCTTTTTATCACTGTTCTCTTTCTCTGCTCCAAGGCTTTTTATGATAGTAATCTTCCTTTCATATACCTCCCAATGACAAGCAATGTAGCATTTCAATCCTGCTGATTTTGCTCTCACACTAGTCATTGTCCTGCTTTCTCCATAAGCAGTAAAGAATTAACTACACTGACAAAGTGAAACTGAATCTGCCATAAAGACTTTCAGATGCCTCACTGTACACTTTGCCCAGGATGACCTTTTAAGTAGCAGCATATTTTAATATAAGATTGACACTGTGGCAAAGTTCCTCCCTATGTAAGTCTCGATGTGCAAAAATCTACTAGGAGAAGATTGAATTCCAAATAGTGCATGAAGCAACAATGTCTACGTACAAAATGAATTATTATTGCTCATTGATCTCGAAATAAAAAGACATCAGTATAGAGATTATATCTTCAACTACAAATGGAGAGAATTGTCTCTTACCTACCTACTGAAACAGGTATATTAAATATTATTTTGTCTTTTGTACTGACAGTGTTTATAAGTGTTAGTGATATAAATTACATCATCAAATCTGTTTAGTGAGTTTTATTACTATTTATCTTCCAGAGTAATTGTTATTCTTAAAACTACTTTTATTTCTGTCAATCTTTAAGTATAGATGCCAGGAACTTCACATTTTTGACATTATGTAATGTATTACTACAGACACTGCCTAGCCTTGATAGCATGCATAACAGCTACTATGATACTTTGGACAGGAGTGATTTGAAAATACATACATAGGTTGAATAACAGCTCATCAAAAGCCTCATTCTGATCACTCAAGCATTTCATAAGTCCATTACAATTGATATTCCAGTGATGAAAACTCACTTTCAGACTTACTGAGAATTTGTGACATCAAATGCATGCACCTTCCTCAGACGTATTAACTGTAATGTACTGGGGGAAATAAGTAAAAAGGTCAGCTGAGCTGCTACTACCCATTCAAGAGGCATCCCCAAGTCAGGTAATGCTGATAACCTGGTGGGAGATCTGGATCCTGTATAATGGATGGTGCATGTGCCTGCTGGACACAGTCCACCAGGTATGCCTTGAATCCTGCTCAGAGAGAGGGGTTGTGTGACAAATAGACAAATCATAAATCTTGCAGCATGCTGGCTGTTTTCCAGCTTAATAACTAAGGCCTGTCTGCAACAAGCAGTATAAGGTGCAACTGGACGGTGACTGTATTAACCAGCAGACATGCAGAAAACTTGAGAGTGGAAAGATACATAAGGTTACCTAAGAATGCACTACAAGGACTTATTGAAGGTATTCTTTCAGTGAAAGCAAGTTACTATAAAACTATGAAATTGGGAGCACCAAAATGAAGAAAGATGTTGGCCTCCTAGGAGAGAAGCAGCATAGCTTCAGCAGGAAAACTGAGAAGTGAGGGGGGCAACACTTACAGCTCAGGCATTTAGTACTGCTGTTTAGCCAAACAGTAAAAAAAGCTTATCACACACAGGTCTAAATACACCCTGCACATTCAAATAGCTTGATTTATTCCAGTGAACCCACAAATAGAGCAAAATAACAACCACATGATAATGAATTAGTGAATAACATAATTAGAGAGACTATTTACAACAGCACGTAGTGACAGAACAAGGTGGAGCGGCTTCAAACTGAAAGTAAATTTAGATTGGATATTAGGAAAAAATCTTTACTGTGAGAGTGGTGAGGCAACGGAACATGTTGCCCAGAGAAGCTGTGGATGCCCCATCCCTGGAAGTGTTCAAAGCCAGGTTGAATGGGGCCTTGAGCAACCTGTTCCAGTGGAAGGTATCCCTGCCCATGGCAGAGGGGTTGGAAACAATGATTTTTAACATCTCTTCCAAGCCAAACCATTTTAAGATTCTATGATAACTCAAATATCCAATGCCAAGAAAAACTGGAAATAGTTACATAAACAGTATAGAAAAGCATAATCATTTATCAGTTGGTTTAAAAAAATTTAACCAGTCTGATTTTGTGGGGCATATGAAGAATTAGCACTGAGAGAAGAGGTAAGACAGGATGATGAAGTTGTGTTCAGCTCAAGAGTGTACATTGTATCTTCATAGTAATTGAGCGCTCCATTTCAGTATAAGATAATGAATTATCAAACAGCAGCAATAAAGGAGCACTTTCCATTTAAAAGGTACATTCTTATGACACACAAGGAAGCTCATTAAAGATCCTTCACTAAGATTTTAATCTGTATTTTGAGGAAATAAATGTTTATTCTAATTCTTACAAAAGTACTTGCATTTGAATTTTTAAACTTTGTAATGAATGCTAAGAAGATCACACTTATTTTGCATTACAGCTACAGCCTTGATTGTTAATGAAAATAAGGCACACAGAAGACAATGGCATTGATTTGCTTCTATCTAAGTTTTATTCTGTATCTAAGTCATTTTTATTCTTTGGAAAGGGAAGAACTGGAAGTCTTATGTATAGCGTTTATAAACTATGAATGTAATAATGCAAAATATCTTTTAGAAGACATTTTCTCATGTATTTTTCAGATATTCCCATTAGTGATCCATCTTTCAGAAGTAATGAATCATCATGGATGTCATTTGCACCCTTTTCTATCCGGCATAAGACCCATATCAAGCTACAGTTTCAGACTCTGTCTCCAGATGGTATCCTCTTTTACACTGCACAGCACTTGGGTACTCAGTCAGGTAAGGTTATTCCAGCTTGCTGGTATCATACACCCAGGAACTTTTTTGAAACAGAAAAGCAGTACATTGAAGTGATTCAGGCATTCAGTCTCTGTAACTCATTGTCCCTGGTGACTGAGTTTTATCATAGAATCCTAGAATGTCAAGGGGTTGGAATGGACCTTAAAGATCACCTAGTCCCAACCCTGCTGCCATGTGCAGGGACAGCTCCCACTAGACCAGGTTGCTCAAGGCCTTATCCAACCTGGCTTTGAACACTGCCAGGGTTGGGGCTTCCACAACTTCCCTGGGCAACCTGTTCCAGTGTCTTACCACCCTCACAGTAAAGAATTTCTTCCTAATATCTCACCTAAATTCCCTCTTTCAATTTGTACCCCTTACTCCTTGTGCTATCACCACAGTTCCTGATGGAGGAGTCCCTGTCTGGCTTCCCTGTAGGTCCCTTCACATACTGGTAGGTTGCAATGAGGTCTCCATGCAACCTTCTCTTCTCCAGGCTGAACAGCCCCAACTTTCTCAGTCTTTATTCATAGGGGAGGTGCTCCAGTCCTCTTATCGTCCTTTCTTTGTTGAGGACACCAGAACTGTGCTATACAGTTGTTTTGAAATGTGAATAATCAAGCTCATAAGAAAAAACATGCATGACAAAGTTTTGGATGAGTCCAAAGCCAGCAAATATTTAATGAAGTTATTTAATGGTTCAGGAGATCATTTCCGCCTGAAAAGTAACCATATTTTTAGAAGCTACACTAGGATTCTCACTCTGGGGGGTTGTCCCAGTGTTTTAAAATGACCGAAAATAAAGCAATATAAAAACCGATCAAACAACTTAAGTGAAACTGAACAGACTATGAGAGAGCTAATGAGGCTTCTCAGAACTGTAATTTTGTTGAAAAGCTTGTTGGTGAAGCATGCAAAACATGCAAGTTCTTCATTACCCAGATAGGCAGGAAAAAAAATCTAAATAAAATATTTCTACTCTTTATAGAAGTATTTTAAACTTTACTAAGTTAACATTCCTAAATTTTATGGTAAGAAAACATAATTTGCCAGTATAAATATGTTTTAAAATTTAGTCTTTAAGGTGTACATTTTTAGTAATTACTTTTTAACATAATTAATCTTTATATTGCACTTACATGGTGCCTTGTACCTTTCTAAACAGAAGCATTACATATCATTCATAACATCATCTTAGGGCAAATTTTCTACTTGTATTAAGGAGTATGTTATGCAAAAATCGGGCTTTGCATGAAAAAAATACTTAACTATTGATCACATATTTTTACATTCCTTTGCTTAAAGCCTAAAAACTCTTGAGATACTTCAATAAATGTACTCAGCCACAAATGCATATAAACTCACATATGTCTACTGTACCACCATCTTACTCTGTACACAGATGTTTTATCAGGCTGATAATGCATTATACACTGCTGGCACCTCCTGTTTTCCACATTCTAATTGCAATTATATACAGAGACGCAGCTTAAAAAAAAAAAATAATATATGAAGCGCCTGTTATACAAATACATGTACTAGCAATGAGTTCTGTCTTCTACAATGAATCTTTTAAAATTCCATCACTTACAGGCCAAATTCTGAGCTACTCAGTGAACAATTCTCTCCTGCATAAACTAAGGCATACATGGGCCATGAAAAATAGAATCGTAAAAAAGGATCTCTCAAAAGAATAGCCAGAGGTCATGAAAGTAGCCAGCATATAATGAAATTAGTATCCTTTTGGAAGCATCAGAGTGCTAAGTCTGTTTAACTTAGGCCAGAAGTAGTTTATCACAAGCATGCCCTCATTCTTTTGCCATTCATGAATGTTTAGTTTGCATAGGAAGGAAAGTTTTCTTTCAATCACTTTCTAGAATAATATTAATTCCATTTCAAAATAAAAAAAAAATCCTATATAGAATAATTTTTTTACAAATTTCCTACTTCCATTTTCACTGTCCTGATGTTTTGAAACATTTAGGAAAAGTTAATCGGCTAGCTCTTTATATTTACCTTCGTGTAATCCTGTCAAATCCAGACAGAATTAGATTGATGAAAGACTCAGAAGTATTCTTAGCAGCCAGCAGATAAGAGTAAACTTTCTGGGGAGGGATTAGTTTAGAAAGCACTTTTAAAAAGCCTTTTTTTTCCTCACAGTTATGTAAGATTTAATAAATTGATTGCCAAAATCACAGGATTTTGTTTCTAAACATTCCTTTTTTAATAGGAAATAATTAGAACATTTTTTCCTCACTAGGCAATGTTGTTTTGGTGGGAGTTTCTTGTGGTGTTTTTTTTGGTTTTGTTTTTTTTTTTTTTTTTAAGATATCGCCTCTGACTATGCAGCTAATTTAGCCAAGATATTGGCTTGGCTTGTCACCTATGTAAACATTAAACTGGGATTTTCCTTCAGGGGCAGACCCTACCAAATAATCCTCCCATCATTAAAAATAAAATCAGATCTTTAATAGGTGAAGAAATAAACATGAGACTTCTGTTGAAACATTTCCTTCTGGCTTTGCTCATTTCAGAAAACATCACAGAACTTTTTAGAAAGGGGGGGTAGGTGGCTGTCTCCATATTCGGAAGTGGATCTGCTGGTTCCAGCCTCTATTCCTCTAACTAAGTCTTTACTTCAGTACACACACTGAAACATCTGGCAAATGGGAGTAAAATGAAAAACATCTTATGAACCTGTTAGCAGAATTTCCTATTGTTCTGTCAGTCACCCATTTTGTTTCTTTGTCAGCTCTTTCTGAATGTGTATCATGACTTTAAGTCTGGTAGTACTGATTTCTGCAACTCTTAAGAAAATAATTTCCAAAGTTTGGCAAAATTTATGTGGATATCTAAAATAACAATAAGCTGGGAAAATAGCCCAACCCAACAAGTGAGTTGTGTATGTATATTTTAGTTCAGAAACTTGCAGATAGAATGACAAGGGGACTTTTTTCCCTCTTCGATTACTTGTCCTATGCACTGCTTCTGGGAAAGGTCTCTGCAAACATTACAGCATTCATATGGAGTCCAGCACAGTGACAGTAGAAGGCCACCCACTTCACATTTTCTCAAGGGCAGTGTATTCTATTTCTATCAATGAAAGCTTGAGACTCTTAATGATTAAACAGACTTTAGTTCAGACAGGGCTTACTTGATGCCCATCAAGTGTTGGAATGATGTATATTCAACCCGTTTACAAAGCAAACACTCTATATACTTGCTTTTTCATTGATTCATAGAATTACTGAAGATTTACATTTGTTTGCAGAGGTGAAATATGCTGTAGACTGCCTGCATTATTCCAGAGCTCAGGCCAGAGTGATGGAAAGGGTGACCTCTCACCGATGACAAAGAACAATTATGCTGGGTGACTAAGAATGAAGTCAGGTTAATAAAAAGAGTGGAATGACTCATGCTAAATTTAATACTCAACATTTGCAAAAGCAGTTCTCCGTCTCTCTTTAACCAGATTATGTTACCTACCTGGTTTGAAAAACCTCAGAACTTCTATTCCTGATATTTAAGGCATTTCAGTTTATAAAACTGCAACATGAAAATAAGAGAAAGCTAGTAGAGGTGTGTGATGTCTGTGTGGTTTTATAAAACATTGTTTATCGCAAAAAATGAATTATGGAACTGGACTAAAATCTTTTGGAAATATTCAAAATTTCTAGAATACCCACAAGGCAGGAGTGTTGTTTTCCTAACCAGAAAAAAACTGATTATCCACCTACTTTGAAAACAGGACCTGAAGAGTTGTTAAGTCTTCTCTCTGAGCAGCCATGTTTCCTTAGCTGACAGGGACGTAATTTCTGCTTTGTTACTAATTTTGGGATCATTTGTATGGATTAAATTAGCAGCATAGGAAGCCAAACTGCCAGGCAGAACAGACATCCCCACTGTCCTGAAATCTTTTCCATAGGAAATGTTGTTGTTCCCCATTTGCCACTAGCAAGCAAACCAAAAGAGGTTAGCAAATGGAAGTTCCTCAAGGAAAGTGGCTCCTTCTAGCTGTCAGGGCAACATTCATGATTAAAGGAAGCAGAAAAAGTTTCTCCATCAAGGAGACATGTGTTTTCAAAAGGTGAGACTGAATTGTCTAACCTACAAATAGGTAACTACCCACCCCTTGTAGATGCATGAGCACCACTGTCTACAGGGTTGCTCTAAATCCTAGCTCTGGGATGGTGCTCCAAGTTGAAGCTAGAATCTACCTATTGTCAAAGTGACTTTTTACATGGTTTGAGAAATTTACAGGCTTGACTTGACACCTGTTTTCAGTCTTGCATTAGCTGTGAGATGGGGTTCCATACATGGAGTAGAATAATTTGTAATAACCCATGAAAGCATATCCATGAGTAGCTCCTGTAAGTGTGTATTAGGGGCACTGGCTATGGTCATCCCTAGATAAAAGATTAAGTTACAATAGGCTGCTATAACCTGTCAGCTGACTGATATCTAACTGTACATCTGCACTTAGATCAGGGCAAAGACAAGGTTAAGGTTAATAAACCTAAAGGAAGACAGGAAAAGATATTAAACTGAGGACAACACACTTCAACCATGTTGACATATTACAGGCTGGGAACTAGCAGCAGAGGCTGCAGAAGGGTGGGAATAAGGCTCATCTCTTCTCTGTCCTTCATTCCCTTGTTCTATACATTTATAGCCCTCCTGATTCCTCCTTGCTTTCTCTCCTTGGCCCTGCACCTTATTGTGGCTACTGGAAATGCTCAGGAGACCAGTTCTGAAGGACAGCTACTGGTCAGTTAGGTCATGTGGACACCACAGTGCATCACCTTCCTTGGCCGCAGTGTAGCCATTCAGCTGGAGGCTGACATGGCTATTTCAGACCCTTGTATACAAGAAAAATTCTGGCCCTGGAAGAATACATAAGAGATCACAGTGTATGAAGACATGGTTCAGGTCCATGGAAAATCATACACTAGAGCAGGATGAGAAGAAAACTGTGAAGAACAGAATGATTAAAAAAAGAACAAAAGCAATATGAACTCAGCTCAGCAAAGCAGGAAAGAGCAGTGACCAAAGATATATTTTGAACCTTTGATGGCTACAGGGATGCATTATACCAAAAAGAGGAAATAATACTGCTGGAGACACAAGTGCTTTATTATGGTGGCTTAACAAGGTCAGTTTAGAGTGAAGATGAGCACACTGAAACCTACAGTAAGAGGTTTCATTAACTGGGAATGATTCCTGTGGAAGTTACTGCTTATGAGAATATACGGCTCTGTTAGCTCTGAACAGTGCCAATGATCAGTAAAAGTTTCTGAAAAAGATGGTGGAAGAGCTGGGGAAATGCTACCCGATACCACAGTGAGAGAAACTGACATTCTGGCTTTGGGCTAGAGGTCAGAAATGTGAGGTTAAAACCAACAGAAGGCACAGACTGAAGCCAGCAAACATACATAAAGAGATTCCATCTCTGGGCTATGAAATGGCTAAAGGGATCAAGACTACACATTCTTTAACCAAGAAACCATAGCCTGGGGCTCTTGAGATACCTACCCTGCTGAAGCACTGAACTCATCAAAACCTCTGTCCCCAGCACAGCATAGAGGCTTCTGTTCAGTAACACAAGATGAGACAAAGGACAAGCAACATGCCTTAAAGGAATCTAAACCTTCAGTATTCCAGGAATTAATCAGTTTATGCATTTCCAAGTGTACAATATTTTGACAAATCATGATGTAGATGAGTTTCCTATGGTAATATAAAAACATGGAGAGTTGATACTGCTTGAGCATAATCCTCTCTCAGAATGGGGATGCATAGACACACCTGAATGTCTAGATAAATTCAGAACATGAAACGCCATGTCACCATTTGTAACTTAAAACTTGACTGTGTGACTGTAACCATTTTGCTTAGAGACTTACATACTTATTCATAGTAGTAGCATGTCTGGGTAGAAGAGACTGAACATTGCCAAAGAGGTGGTTCAGAAACTTTTCCTGATGCTCCTTTCTTACCCTAGGGCTGAGGTCCTGATAAAAGAATATCCAAGCAGGTTATTTACATTGCTGAAGCAAAGAGAGATGAGTGCATTCAAGCCATGCACTGAAAAATTAAGCAAGCTTAAAGCCACACCACTAAGCAGAAGAAACCACAAGTGAAAAGAATTGTATTTTCTGAAAAAAAACCCCATAACCAAACAAGGTAATCGAAAAGAACACTTAACACAGAGAAGTAAAAGAGATCATCACAACCAGAACTAGCAAGGAAGTGCTCTGCCATCACTGGAGTTGAAAGAATGAAGACCTTTCCTCTTCCCATGGGTGGCTGGGGCAGGGAGGGTGAGACACAAAGCAGGTGCTCTATAGCCACTAATACAACTGCAACATCTCCACCCTGCCTGAATGGGAACCTGAACAATTCCTGAAAATGGTGGTACAATTTTAGCAACTTTCACAAGCCTCCACTAAATTAAGCCATTCATTTTTAACTTTACTAAAAGCAATGTGATTCAAGGATCAGAAATACTCAAAAATTAAACACCCATGAAAGCAAAGTTCATCATTCTACTAACAGATTCACCCTTAAAAATGTTGAATCTTTAGGAAATTGGATTGGTAACTATTAGAAAAGCTTACATTTAAGTTTAACAAACTTGTTTACCAGTTTAACTGATAACAACCACCTGATGCCTATTATTTTCAAAAGTAATATAAAAAATGCACAGGCAAATATCAAAAAGTTTGAAAACACAGCTTTCAATAGCATACTATACTGCTGTCCTCTTCTCCCTCGCTGTCATTTACCCCATCAGACTGTATTGCTGCTCTTACTTGCCTTCTAGCTTCCATTTCCTAACCTTTCCCAGCTTTTCTTCTTCACATTTTTAAGTACAGTTCAAAGTGGTACTCTCTCTCTTTTTATATTGCCTGTAAGGCCAGAAACACTGACAGAATAAGAAAACTCTTTCCTAATACTTCCTGTCATGGAAGCTTCCAGAAGAACAATTAAATAAAAAGCTTATCTGTTCCTACAGCTGTCATAATATTAAACCCAATATTAGACCTGTTGTGAAAGGGAGCTTCAGGTAAAACAGAGTACACCTGCTGCCAACTCACCTTCAGTGCACTGAACTAACAAATCCATCAAGTCTCTATTCAGCATATGAAAATTGAGAGTATTTCTGGTTTTGTAACTTGGCCAAAACTTGATTCTTTTCTATGGGAAAACCAAAAGCTCACATTTCCAGGATGCCAAAGTGATCCTGTTTCCTCCTACCTCAGTCACCTGGTTTCTGCACAAAAGCAGAGCTTTGCAGAAGGTTGGGCATTTTACCTTGAAGCAAACATGAGCTCAGTTTACAATAATTAAAAAAAAAAAAAGAGGGTCAAGTGCATGTCATCAGAGAACATTTCTCTTTATGTGATTTAGATACAATGATGATGGTACAAGGAAGTGCAGGCAATAAAGTATCAAGACTACTAATATCCTGTTCTTCAGTGCACCACCTCTAGAAATTAAAACTCTTTTATACTGTTTTTTACAGGTGACTTCCTATGTATATCATTAGTAAACGGATTTATGCAGTTACGCTACAATCTCGGAGACAAGACAGTCATCCTACAGGCCCTTCAGAAGGTCCGTGCGAATGGAAATACATGGCACTTACTCAAAGCAGGAAGAGCTGGCAATGAAGGCTACCTGGACCTGGATGGTATCAACGTTACTCAAAAAGCTAGTCTTGGAATGAATGTACTAGACACACACACAGATTTTTTTGTTGGAGGGGTGTCCTCCTTAAACCTTGTTAATTCAATGGCAATAGAAAATGAACCCATAGGTTTCACTGGTTGCATTCGAGAAATTGTTATAAATAATAGGGAACTGAAGCTTACTGCGACTGATCCCAAAGGTGGAGCCAATGTTGGTGACTGCGATGGAACAATTTGTGGGTACTCAGTGTGCAAAAATAGTGGAACATGTCAAGTTGAAAACTCAGGGTTTTCTTGTTCTTGCCCACCAGAGTGGACAGGAACCACATGTGAACAATCTGTTCACTGTTCACAAAACATGTGTGGGTCTCAAGGGCTCTGTATTCCTCAACCTTCATTTTCATACACCTGTGTATGTGCACTAGGCTGGTCAGGCAAGTACTGCGATAGCAAAATAAAATTTTATATAGCAAAGTTTGTCGGCAACTCCTACATTAAATACACAGATTCTTATTATGGAAAAAGAGACCTCCAGTACAGCCGCATTTCTTTAAATTTCACTACCAATCAAACTGAAGGCTTAATAGCATGGATGGGCAAAAGTGAAGATGAAGATAATGACTTCCTTGCCATCGGTATTGCCAATGGAACATTAAAAGTTGTCGTCAATCTTGGAGAAAGAATCTCTGTTCCTCTAATGCATAGAAAATACTTCACCTGTTGTGACGAAAAATGGCATTTTGTTACTGTAGCTCAAAACCAAACATGTATTAAGGTATACCTTGATGAGGAGCTAATTCTTTTTGAAGACATTGATCCACAAAGAAAATACACTGCTTTAAACTATGGTGGCATTTGCTATTTTGGTGGGTTTGAAATCGGCAGGAAAGTCAATGTAGTCACTACAGGGCTTTTTCAGAAGGAATTCATTGGTAAAATTAAAGATGTTGTGCTCTTCCAAGATTCCAAAAAGCTTCAGCTAATGAATGCAGAAGGGTACAATGTTTATGACGGAAATTCTGGAAATTAATTGAAAAAATGTTCAAGACTCTGTAAAAGTGATAAACTTTCTTTTCCTCCTTTTTCTTGTGTTAGTTGGCAGTGTAATACTCAGAAACCAACAAAAGAAAATTTTCATTAAGAAAAGTAATTAAGGACAATTTTATGTTGAGTATTAATAGATACAAAACATATATTTTACTCTTAAAATTACTTATTTGTACTCTTTAGTATTTACTTATTAAAATAATGAGAAAGTCTGCAGGATTTTTTTCTTTATTGTGCTGGAAATAGTTTCATAAACAAATAGATAGTAATTAGCTTACAAAGCCAACCATCATTCAACTGTTGTTTGTTGCTTTATGAGAACAACTGTTAACCTGTTTCTCCAACTTTTAAATTCTATTAATGTTTCCCTTATAATTTTATAATATTAAGGTCAAGTGTAAAAACTGAAGAAAAGGTGTGCAAAAGTACATGTTTATTGTAAGGAGAATTTTTAAAATCTTAACAGCTGTAATTAAGTGTTAAGCCCACAGAGATCCTAATAAGGTTCTTCCTCCCTTCTGAGTCTCTATCCATCCTGTATGCATTTATGTAAAAGGGTTGAACTTAGCATGAACACAGGCTTAAAATGTTACACTTAAAGAATGATACCAAGAGCAGAAAAGGTATTTCACTTAAGAAAGATAAAAGAGGCCTGCTGGTTTTCTCCAGCAGAGGTCTCCCCCTATATGGCTACATAAAAACTTTTTGCTTTAAGAGTTCAGAACCGGAATGTGGCATTCTGTCTACAAGTAACTTCTATTCCTAAAAGCTTATAAATCAAAAAATCCAAGAACTGTTTTAGCTATACCTTTCTGGCTTATATGCCCCTAAATAAGATTTCAAAATTTTACTAGACAAAGGTTTTGGTCATAATAAACTGATTTTCCCTGACTATATCTTTCACTAACTTATAATTTCAAAAGTAAATAGAGCTCTTCATCTATAAATGCAAAAATTCAATTCCTTCTGAAAAAGTTCAGTTATATTCTACTTCAGGAAGCAACAACAAAAAAAAATCCAGTTCTATTTTAATGTGTTCAAACCAATGATTTATCTACATCTACATTTTTCATTTGACTGCTGGCTTACTATATAAATAAAATGCTTACATAAAAATAACAGTGATTGATTACTATTTTCTTCTTTTTTTAGTTTTCTCTAGCTCAAAAGCACATAATAAACCACCACCTCCTTGCATGGGAATTCTCTGAATACAAGTCTTCAGAATGCAGAAACAGGTCAGAAACAAGTAACCGTTCTGAGGCAGGGGGGAGGGAGGTGAGGGTAGCGTGTTTATCTTTCTGTAAGATGTGGAGCAGAGACAATAAGCACCTAAAACTAGGTGACACGCACTTGTCTTCATATAACCATACTTAGTGTGTGGCAGTGAATGCACTGCCAAGTCAAGTTAACAGGTGACTTGAAGATTACTGCTGTACACTTCGGTTATGGAACTACCCCCAAGATGTTTTATTAAGCATCTGCAAACTTCTTTTTGAGGTTCTTTCTATCTTCTGCTGCTGCTCTGAGGCCCCAAGTGATCAGCCTGATGCAGCAGAGCTTCCTCGCCTCTTCCCAACAGGCAGCTCACAAAGCCCAATTAGCATTTGAGTCGTCCCCAGATTCTTCTCTTCCAGTTTCTCTAAGTAGGGCCTTTTATTGCCATGTGATGCTGGAGAGGGGAGCATATTTAGCATTTGTCCTGTTCTCTCTAGGGCTCCTGGGGTACTGCCAGTTCCTCAGCAGGGCACACTGCCCTTTGTGATCTGAGCAGTGATTCAAGGTAATACAAGGAACAAGTAATCAAAGCACTTCCAGCTAACACAAGTGTTGGAAGGAGAGTGACTAAAGGCAATGGAGAAGATAAAATCCTTTATTCCTGTAGTAACAGGATTTATTGCCATTACACTAACTCAGATCCTAGGAACACGTCCTGCAGACTGTTGCTTTGTGTTAATTTAAACACTTAACAAAACTCTCCCTCAAGAGCTGTTTTACTGCAGCTCTCTTTAGGTTCTACATACATGAGGCAGGTAGCAAAGCACTTAGCAAACTTGCAAAATATTTACATATTCTTTCCAAACAAATTATTTCTGATAATTCTGACAAACAGCATTCCCATCCTTTTCGTCCAGGCAATTGCAATTTTCATTGCTCCCAGTTTATTTTCAAAGCACAGATGGATGCGCATGTGAGAGGCAGATCTTCAGTGGACTGGCAGTAGAGTACTTTTGAACAGGTCAAAAGAAAATCTTCACGTGGAGAGCTGCCAATTTAAAACTTCCTTCCAAAACAAGAACAACGCTTAGATAAAGTTGTGTGCCTACAGAACTCTAATGTAATTATTTAAAAAACACAACACATGCATAATACTACCAGATATATCAATGGCACTACTGCTATACAGACTATGGAACTGATTTGGAAAAGACTAATTTAATTTATCATGCTATAAAAATGTTTAAATATTGCTTTTAGTTAATAACAAATTGAAGATTTTTTTTTAAATTAGTCTTCTCAACTATGAGCGTAAGAAACATCACTCAATAAAAGTCTACCACCCCCTTTATTCTGTGCAAGATTTTTAATTTTGATCAATTTGATCATGAAGCTACCTGCAAGGTGTCCAAGTAAAATTTTACTTTAAAATATATTCATAATTAAAACTAACAATTAGGGTTTGTTAAACTGGGAAGACCTTTCTGGAGAGAAGAGGCTTTTCTACAACTACATGCCAAATGTTATGTCAGCAGCATAGTAAGGTCGAGTACTCAAATTTAAAAATAAAATGCTGAAAAACAGAACAATAAGTCTCAATTTTTCTTTATATGGTGGAATATTTTTGTTGTTTCTGACAGATTCAACAAGATGCCCAGTGTATTTTAAGAAGTGTAAGAGTAGGTGACTTGAGTTGGTTTTCATGTTTGCATTGTCTGGCATCAGTGGATGGTAATCATTATAAAATATCAATTTACTGGAAGTCCCAAAGGTATAAACACTCTTCTGCCCCCTCCCCCCATATGTTCTCCAAAACTCAAAACAAACTGAGCCATGAAGTGTACAACAAACGTGGCATTATGTGATTCAGATTTCCATATTCATTTAGCCTACAGTTTCACACCTATGAAATCAAACACACACAGTATGTGAGAAAGTTTTATCATTTTAGAATCAAAATATCCCTTAAAATATTTACATTTTACAGTAAAAAGGATAGCAAAACACAAAGTAATGTACAAGCTTAGGTATTCAAGTTTTTGAAGCATGGAAAATGGTGGGAGAAATGAATTTACTACTACAAATCATATTTTCAAGAATTTAGGTTAAAAATGCTTTCTTATTAAAACAAGTGCAGTTTAAAGCAGTAACATTTGAGCAGCTCAGCCTTCCAATTTCTGGTCACAAACTGCTTCAGATGCTTAGGAAATATTTGAAAACTAATGAAATACACTTGAATTTTTTTATTGTACGACTGAATAATTTAAAAAAACTCCAAACTCTTCACACCACCGAGCATATTATGTTTTGTTGTAATGGGTGGATTCTTTGCTACAGTCTTTAAAAACAGTGCAATTTAAAAAGAAGGTTATTGTATGAAAATCACCTTTAAAATTATCAGAGCATCTTAAAACAGAAGAGAGCACAAATTACCAAAGGCAGCAACTATATTGCAGACTTGACTAAAGCCAACTTCCTCAACTAACAAAATTTGTAAGCCTTTATTGCATATTAATAAAAGAAATCTTTAAAATTTTGAATATACAGCAATGTAAAATTTTTAAACATATTAAACTCCTACTTCTAGCAATAGTTGGTATAATGAAAAAAAAAGGATGAGTATTGGTACATCGACTGGTACCAAAACACAGACTTGTTTCTGCAAAACACCAACATGGAATAAAAAAGATGGCACAATCCTAGCAGGCTCTTTTTTTCTCTTTTTTTTTATACAAAGTTTTACGATATTACTCTAACAGTTTATTTAAATAGGATTTTAAAAGACTGCCTGCATCTTTTTACCTTTTGCTTTTAGTTCTGTCAGTGTGGTCCCTATGTCTCTCTCTGTTCTTTTCACTTTCTCGTTCTCTATGCTTCTCTTTGCTTTTCTCCCTCTCCTTATCTTTTTCATGAGCCTGTTCTTCACTTTTAGGCTTCTCTGCCTTTTTTTCTGGATTCCTAGTCTCTCTGGGGCTTTTTCCATCAGCAGCCCTATCACTGTGTGGAGATCGCGCTCTTTCTTTGTCTCTCTGTCCTTCCTCTCTACTCTTCCTCTCCCTCTCTTTTTCCTGGTTTCTATCTCTGCGTCTGTTTCTCTCAGAATCTTGCTCCCAGTATTTTTCGTTGCTCCACTCTTTTTCATGTCTCTCTTTTTTTTGGTGATGGGTTTCACTGTAAAGTCTTTGTCGATCATTTTTTCCTCTATTGAACCCTCTCTCCAAATGCTGTTCTTCTCTGCCCCAAGGATCGCTGTGGCGTCTTTCTGGTCTCCTACTGTCTTTAGTCTGAAAAAAATTTTCTGGTCCCAAAAATCTTGATTGCTTGTGAGCCACTGGTAGCCCTTGTGCAATGGGTCCAGCATAATGTGGTGGCTGACCTGATAAATGAGCTACTGGTGGCCATGGCATCATTGGATTTTGAGGAAAACCAAAGCCAGGAGGAGGAAGAAGTGGAGGTGGTAAATGAGGAGGAAATCCAAACATAGGGTTGTTTTGCTGAGGAAAGTTATGAGGTGTGGGAGCCTGAAACTGAAATCCAGGTGGATTAGGTTTAGGATGCTGAAAATTCTGCTGTGGAGGTCCAACAGATGAGAAGCTGCCACTAGTAACAGGGCTTGGGACTTTGGAAATAAATTCAGAACGAGAAGAATTTTCAGTTTCAAAATGAGATGAAGTTGCTGCTGGTCCTCTTCTAAATGAGTTCACTGTTTCAATGTTTTGCATCAGTGCATCTTCCTGTGAGTGTTTGTTATCTTCTGCTTGTGATCCAACTGTGCTATCTGCTTTAGCTGCTGCTGAACTGAACTGCGCCTCACTGGATTGAAGATCACTTTGAGAGAGGTTTAAGCCCACTTCTCCAGAAGACTGTTTATTCTCTGGTTCTATTTGATCATTTCCTGAAGGATTCTGTCGGTCCTCACTTCTGCTAACATCTCCATCCTTGTTTTCTGAAGTATTAGTCTGCTGGCTTCGTCCAGCTGCCTGTCGTGGGTCTCTTTTAAGATTAATAAATGGAGGTGATTTAGAGGTACTAGCAGTGGTACCTTCAGTAGAACCTACACTAACATTGTTCTCACTGGGTTTTTTCCCTGCATTTGATGAAGAAGAAATGCTGGAATTTGTGCTCTTTTTAACTTCTTGGGAAACACTATCTTTGTCTGGTACCTGCCACTTTGGGTCATTTTCT